AAATTTGATGTGCAGGACAAAGCAGAGTGAAAACACAAATTGCCAATACCATGAATGAAAGAGGGATTATCACTATAGATCTTAGAGATATTAGAAGAAAAAGAGGGAATATTATAAACAACTCTTTGGGTAAATTTGACAATTTAGATAAAATAGACAAATTGCTTTAAAAGTAACAAAGTTGATAGAAGATAAAACACAAATCTGAATAGCCCTCTATTTTTAAAAAATGAATTTGTTATCAGAAATTTTCCTAAAAAAAACCCAGACCCAGGTGGTTTCATTGATTCTCTCAGATATTTAATGAAGAAATAACATCAATATATAAAAACTCTTTTGAAAGTAGAGGACAAAGGACAGTTCCTAGCATGTTTTATTTATGAGAATAGCATCCTCTGATACAAACACTTGACAGAGATATTACAAAACAAGTAAAAAGTACAATATGGTACTCCTTATACTTAGAGACACAGAATTTAAGCAGCATATAAAAAGGATAATGCATTATGACCAAGAAGAATTCTTCCCAGGAATGCAACATTGGTTTAACATTTTAAAAATCAGTCAACTTAATTCACTTCCTTAGGAGAACAAAGGAGAAAAAATAATCATTTGAATAGATGTAGAATACACATTTAACAAAATTCAATACCTTTCATGATTAAAAAAACAATGAAACAACTGGTAGGGTATAGAAGGAATATTCCTCAGTCTAGTAAAGAAATCTATAAAAAACCTACAATTACTCTATTAGTTAAAGTACTGATTGTGGTGTTCCTAAGATTGGGAACAAAGCAAAGATGCCCCCTCTTGCCATTTTATTCAATATTCCAGTGAAGAAAAACGAAGTAAAAGGTGTAAAATTAAGAAGTAAAACTATCTCTGATTGCAAATAACATGATAGTTTATGTAGAATAGCTTAAGGACTCTACTAAACAACTATAAGAACTAATAAGTGAATTAAGCAAGTTCTCAGGATACAAGATCAAAATATAAAGTTACATTGTATTTTTATTTATAACAGTTACAATCAATTAAAAATGAGATTCAATAAATAGCTCCATTTACAATAGTATCAAGAATAAAGTACTTAGGGATAAATTTTCCAAAAAGAACAGACAGTACCTCTATACTGAAAACTATAAAATATTGCTAAGAGAAATTAGAGACCCAAGACAATGAAGACTATTGTTCATGGAGTGGAAGTTGCGGTATTAAGATATCAGGTCTTCCTAAAATGATCTATAGATACAATGTAATCCCAATCATAATTCTGCAGAGAGGTTTTTAAAATAGAAGTTGACAAGCTGATTCTAAAATTTATATGGACATGCAAAGGACCTTAAATGCTTTAAAAATAGTTCTTTCCAATAGAACTTCCTGCAATGATGAAAATATCTTTACATCTTGGGTTTAGATAAAGACTTATTACACAGGTCATAGCAAATAATCACAAAAGAGTACATTAGAGTTAATTACAATTTTAATTTCTCATCAAAAGTCAAGATTAAGAAAATTGAAGGCAAGCCACAGATGTCAAGAAAACATTTGCAATATAAATATATCTGACAAGGGACTCATTTCCAGCTTATTTGGGATCTCAATACATACAAATACAAATCAATGATAAAGACAACCCAATTTAGAAGTGGTGAAAGATATAGATTCTTCACAAAGAAGGTATACAAATGGCCAACAAGCACAATATCATTAATCATCAAGGAAATGCAAATTAAAACCAAAATGAGATACTATTACAAATCCACCAGCATGGCTAAAATTAAAAGCAGTGACAACACCAAATGTCTAAGATGTGGAGCAACTGGAACTCTAATACTTAGTTGGAAGTGTTAAATTGTACATCCATTTTTGGAAAAATCTGGTAGTTTCTTATGCAGCTGAACTTATATTAGTACATACCATATGACCCAGCAGTTACACTCTTAGGTATTTACCGAAAAAAAAAAAATGGTGAAAGCATGTCCACAAAAATAATTGTACAAAAATGTTTATAGAAATTATTTATCAACATGAAAATGGATAAACTGTCATATAAACAAACACATAATTATACAGTGGAATTAGTGTAATTAACTGTCCTGGTTTGCCCAGGACTAAGAAGTTTTCTGAATGTGGGACTTTCAGTGCTAAAACTACAAAACTCTTGAGTGACCCAAGAGTTGGTCACCCTAATTATTCACATCAGCAATACAAAGACCTAACTACTGATACATCAAACAACATGGATGAATTTCAAAACATTGTGCTAAGTGAGTGAAACCTACTAAATATTTTACATTTTATGGTTTCATTTATTTGAAGTTCTAAAGCAGGCAGCACTATGTTGTGGTAAAAACAAAAGCAAGATACTATTTGTGTCTGGGGCTTTGGGGAAGGGGTATGAGGGGACTTTCTGGAATAATGGTAATGTTCTCTATTTTGGTAGAGATATGGGTTACACAGGTATACACATTTGTCAGAACTAAAATGGTCGAGGTTTCTGTCTATCTGCATTCTAAAAACACCTGTAAATAAATATTGAACTCTAGTTAATGACAGGCAAACAAGTGTTAATGATATGTGTACTAGAGTGAGTATACCTCTACTTGTCAAGTATGGAATTTTTTTTAAATGGCATATTAATGTCAAAGATGGAAGAAGGCAGAATTATTCCTTGAGGATTGCTCCTGAGTAGAATTGTCTGTTATGACTATTCATTTAGGAAGATTTTCTTTAACTTCTGACAACACTTTCCATGTAGCTGGGTCCCTATTTTCTGTTTTGTAATTCTCTGTTTTGCAGGAAGAATTTTACTTTGTTTTCGAAATCAGTGAGCTTCTTTTATTGTTATATGTATGTAATTTGGCTGCAACTTTGTTTTAATAATTGCTTTGGTATTACTGATTCTTCGCTCTTTTCTCACAACTTGTTTTTAAAGTTTTTACAGTATTTACAAGTATAAAAAGAGTCTCTCATATCATGTCTTTTTAGCATTTTATTTCTTAAAGCAGTGACTATGTAAATTTGTGGTTATTTTAAAGGACAGTAATGCTTAGAACATTCTAACTCGTTAACTTTTTTTTAATAAGGTAGTACTTTTAAAATTAAGTCTGGATTGGTTTTAGAATAGCTGTTTTATTAACATTTTTTGGATTCACAAAAATTAAAATGCACATTACAAAAATTTTACCCTGTATTTATAAAAAATTTAATATTGCTAGGCTTTTAGTTCTTTTCACATATACTTTTTGTTAATGGTAGTGGGTTAGCTCAAAGAAGGTACTCTGTTACTATTCCAACATCTTTTAAGATATCTTTCATCTTTTAATTCTCTTTCTTCCTTTTTAAAAAGATTTTATTTATTTATTTTTAGAGAGGGAAGGCAGGGAGAAAGAGAGAGAAACATCAATGTGCGGTTGCTGGGGGCCATGGCCTGCAACCCAGGCATGTGCCCTGACTGGGAATCGAACCTGTGACACTTTGGTTCTCAGCCCACGCTCAATCCACTGAGCTACGCCAGCCAGGGCTTCTCTTTCTTCTTATACTTATAAAATGCAATGGTCTTATAAGGAAGTTATTTATAATAATGGTTCTTAATCCTACCAAACCCATTGCAACCTTCTAATCATAAACATTTTTAATAACCTGTTTCTATCCTGAAATTAATAGAATGTTTAACCTAGCTACATATATAACCTCAAAAATTCAGTGTCATTACCCTAATTGCAATAGAAAGGGGAAATAAAAAAAGTGGTTAATACATATTTTAACATGTAAATTTTGGGGCATAATGTAGTACTCAGATGATTGTATCTATACATAGAAACTGTGAATGGAACTGCTACAAGTGCAGACTGTTACATGTGTATTGCATTGGTGCCTTACGTACCACAAGCAGTATTGCTTCAGTTTCATGATTTTCTGAAATATTTTACCATTCTTGACAAAGTTCTGAAGAAAAGACAAATTTCCCTCAATTTACAAGTTTATGTGTATCTGAAAATGTTGGCATCTATTTAAACTATGCAAACATAAACTTTGTATGTATACTATAACAGAATTAGGTTTTGACTCAAATCATTAAAAACAGGTTTTTCATCTGTGTGAATGTCCAGGAGGACAATGGAAAGTATGAAAGTCATCTAGCTTCTCTGGCCCTTGGGTGCCAAATGCCATCATGGTCCCTTAATCATTGTAACAACCAAAACACAACCTTCCAAAACACCAGATTGGGTGTTTTTGCAGTACATCTCTTTGGCAGTTGTGTCACTTCTCAGAATAATGTTTTTAATGCATAAGTAGGATTATGAAATAAACCAATTGTATTAAAATATAGACCCCAGCTTAAGCAAGATCCCTGAAAAAGTTGATACCACATTCCTCTCCGATATACACACACTAGTTGAGAACCACTAAGTAAAATGGCTCTCTCTATATAGGGAATTGGTGAAAAGCTTAGTATTATGGATTTGAAAGTATACTTGGTACCTACATCATTTTGTCTTCAGCATAAATTGTATCAATAGGGGATTAACATGAACTAATAGAATGAAGAAAATAGCATAGGAACTGTATTTCCATTTTTATATTTTATTGGAAATTAAGTGTGTCAAATGGGCTCATGCTTCTTCTATCTCCCATTCTTTACTCATTATGACTAAACTACCTCTCTGATTAATATAAATCATAGTTCAGATCTTTTGTCAACTTGTTTATTCACATATTACTTAAAGGAGTGAGATAACTGGCAAGAAAAAATCCTCCACATGCCATTGGGCAAGCTGGCAAAGAATTTACTTGTATTAACAGGGTAGTTTAAACACAAGTAGTTCTGATAGTAGAAATTGTAAAGCAAGATAATAAAAGTTTATTTCAATAGGTACTCATTCAGTGTTTTCTAGGAGTGTGTTGCAACAGGTGGCTATACTATTGTAGGTGGATGAATAGCTCATCATGACAAATGTGTAGAGTACCGTGATGATACTTTTTGTTTCTTTTAGGGTATGTCTCTGTGCCAGACTGTCGTTGTAGGCTCTGTAGTCATTCTTCTCTATTCTTCAAGAGCATGTTATAATTTGGTGGTGATCACCATATCTCAGGATACATTAGAAAGTCCATTTAATTATGGCTGGGATAATCTTTCAGATAAGGTAAGTACCTACCATGTATTGCCAATCTAACTATAGGATAATGCAGTTAGCTTTAAGTAGGAAAATATTTTAAGTGACTTACAAATACTTTTATGGAATCTCTAACTACTATCAATAACCATACTTAAAATTCTGTTTAAAAACCCTCATTCAGAGTGGCACTTGCAATTATTCTTCTGTCGTAGACCCCCACTCATGGGGTCCACAGCGTTGTAGCTGAAACAAAAGGAATTCACACGAACTACTGAATCCTATGGAAGAAAAGGGCGAGCAGCTTCTCTCTCAAGGGGAGCAAAAGCCTCACCCCTTGCTCCAATGAGCTTTTATTGTCTTACTGGGCACATTACAAGAAGGTCACCATTAACTATGCACAGGCTCACTTTAGGTGGTTACCTTATACAGAAAACAAAGAAGATGCTGATAATCACATCACAGAAGGAGGATATTTGCCAATGAAAAGACACAAGTGGTTGAACCGGTTACTCTGGTCCTTGGAAGGTTTAGGATGGTTTTTAGGAAGTTTCTTTGCAGTAAATGTTTGCCACTGGGGGCTGGGCCCATGCCACACATGATGGTCTACTACAGTCTTCAGCGAGAACTTCCAAAGGAGCATTTGTCTTTCTTTTTGTAAATAATACTAATAGTGCCATAAATCTATTGGTCATAAATGTATTTTACTAATTTTTAAAAGGACTGTATTTAAATATCTGTAGATAAATTTATTGCCTGTCATTAGCTAGACATATGGGTATGTCTTTAATTTGTTAGGATATAATTAATTCTCTTTTATCCAAGAATTCTAGTCTATTTTATAACCCCCTTCCAACTATGGGGACTAAAAAAGATCACTTCATATTATCTATATCTAAAAATGTTTTCATATATCAATGCATTGAAACTTAATAGCTTTTTCTTCTACTTAACCTCAGTGCATTTTTATATCCTCTAGGTAAATATCACTACATAGATACCACAAATATGAAAAATCCGAGTTTTATGTTTGTATTTGATATATTTTAACTTACCCTATCTGAAGCAAGTTAATTGTGGAGGGTGACTGATTATACATAAAACAGATTTAAAAATTGCTCTGCCATACTCTATTTTACAGGCTCATATACAAGATGTAACTGGAGAAGAATATATAGTATTTGGAATGGTCCTCTTTCTGTGGGAACATGTGCCAGCATGGTCAGTGGTACTGTTTTTCCGGGCACAGAGATTAAACCAGAATTTGGTAAGATATAATATTCCCTAATGCCTCTTCTCATTTTTAAAAATAATGGAATGTTTATATTGATTTTCTATTTTGGCAAAGCATTATAAAATAGATCCCAACCTCCTGTTGTGGTTGAAAAGTAAATCTTCAGGCCCTGTCTGGTGAGCTCATTTGGTTTTAGTGTCATTCCGATACACCAAGGTTGCAGGTTCAATCCCCCATCAGGGCACACACAAAAATCAACCAATGAATAGATAAATAAGTGGACAAAGTAATGTTTCTCTTTCTCCCCTGCCCCTCTCTAGAATCAATCAATAAATAAATGTTTTAAAAAACTCAATCTTATGCTAATGCTTTTTTCACAGGCACCTGCTGGCATGATAAATAATCACAGTTATAGTTCCAGAGCTTACTTTTTTGACAATCCAAGACGATACGATAGTGATGATGACCTGCCAAGACTGGGAAGTTCAAGAGAAGGAAGGTATATGAACTGAATTAATACTGAAGTAGATTAAAAAGAATAAATCTAAGCTTTAACCCAAATGTGAAAAAGGTGATTTGGTGATGTATCAATCAATAAATTAAATCATTTAATATTGAAGCTTAGAGCAGATGTTAAACCCACGATGGGACCTGTACTATGATGACCTCTTGTTGGACTCTAAGCCTCGGGGATAAAATGGTACAAATTCATTTCAGGATCCCTCATTGGTTTGAAGCTGGCAATCATCAGTAAGCAGGAAGAAATACTGTTGTAGTGACTGTGTGTTTCCTTATCTATAATGCTATGCAAAATCCTCAGAGAAACCGTAGATAAAACTTTTGGGAACATTAGATGCCATAGGAAATATTTCTGTGACTTCCTTATTCCAAAATCATTGCAAATCCACACTATTAGCTGTGTATCAGGACAAAATGAAAGCCTTAATACACACCTACATAATGCTTTCATCTTGATAGAGCATTTTGTATAATCCTCATTTCATCTGGACAAGTTATTTAACCCAATTTTTTAGCCTGTTTTTCATCTCTACAGTAGGAATAATAGAACCTGTAGGACTGTTGTGAGGATTGAACGAGTATGTGTATGTATACATAATTCTACATGTGTATACCAAATGTCTTAGAGCCTAGTATATAACATGCACTATTATTACCTGGTAATCAGGTTTTAGTTGTGATATTTATTCATTCTTTTATATGATATAGAATCAAAGGTATTAGTTAAAGTCATTAAATTTTATAGAAAGTCATTGTGTTATTTCAATATTTGATATTAACTATATTATAAAATTCATTGAAAAACTAAAAATGCCAATGTGCCCTATTATATACTGATCACAGTCCTATGGCTTTTTCTTTTGTTGTTGCAGTTTATCAAATTCACAAGGGTTGGGCTGGTATGGCACCATGACAGGGTGTGGCAGCACCAGTTACACAGTCTCTCCCCACCTGAATGGACCTATGACAGATACTGCTCCTTTGCTCTTTACTTGTAGTAGTTTAGATTTGAACAATCACCGTGGCTTATATGTAACACCACAAAACTGACAGCATTACCAAGTTGTGATTCTTCGGTTGTTTTTCATGAGTGTATATATTCAACATGCTTAAATGCCATCTACATAAACATTCCATTATCATTTGCAACTGAAAACAACACCTGGAAATGTGGCTGTGTTCAGCAGAGGACACGGCTATTACTTTGACCTCTTCATAGTAAAATGAAGTTAACTGGAACGTTTGAAGTGGGAGAAACAAGAGATTAGATCTTACGGCACTCGAAGGCCTCCATACATCTTGACTTTGGAACATCAAATGCATATTTGCATATTTGCACTTTTATCTTTGTTCTGAAGAGTACACTGCAGTCCCCGAAGTCATAACTCCAGTGTTCTCCCTGGGATACATTGTTCAACAAATTAGGAGGCGGTTTTCCTATTAAAATCAAAGTCTGTATATTCAGTGGTGTACTCGATATGGCATTCTTACCCAATAAAAATTTTAGTGTGAAAAGTGCACAAAATTAAGGCATAAAAATGTATTATTCTTTTAAAAGTTATACTAAAAATATGTAATCATTGAAGATACTTCTTCTAAGCATGATCATAAAATACCAACTGAAATTATGCAATCATTTTAACAGTGATGAGGAGCAGTGTTCTTTGGAAAGCCACAGTTATGTCTTCAAGAAGAAAGTATACCAGTGAAAATTATGTGGTTACTTTGAGTAGAACTGGTCAAGTGGTTATTTTGTATCACTAAGATATATATAGTAGCTTAAGCATGATTCTTCAAGAAAGCAATAGTGGTTTTTGCATAGGGAGATTTTGGTAGAAACTTCTTGGGACTAAACAGGTTTACAGATGCATTTAAGAATTATTCACAAAATATATAATTCTAAGTTAAAACATGATTACATGTTCAAAAGCATTTGATTTAGCTGAAACAAGATATAGCTGATTTTACCTAAAAATCACGATTGTCCTCAGGTAAATTAAATCATGATACATAATTGCAGTGAACTCAAGTGCAATACTTAGTAGGACATAAGACTTCCTTTAGTTTTCACATTTTTAATCTTGTATATGGGCAAAGCCAAATTATATTTAATTTAAATTAATTCCAGCACTAGATAAATAAGCAAACTGATATAAAGGTACTAAGTAGGTAAGTATAAAACCAGTGATTAACAATATTGGAATACTTTTTGAATTATATTGAAAATGTCTTGAATGTCCTATCTCATTTTTAAAAACATATGTGGTAGGCTAAGGTAATAGAGAATTTAAAAATGCACTTTCTACCAGTGTCTATATTGAAAGAAGGAGATGCTGAATACCTCAAGATACCAAGGGAACAGGCACCATTGGGAAGTTGTCACAACATACTTAAAGACACCTAACTTTATACAATTGTCTGATCTCTTCCTTCAGAACTAGAACTAAGACAACTGTCTTTTTCTGTCTCCTACTTTAATTAGAAAGTTACGTTTTACTTCCACTCTTGCTTAGAATAGCTCTCAACTTTTTAATAATTGATGCAGTAACTTCACAAAAGTATAATGGTAGATGAAACCCCAAGGAATAAATGAAAATTTTAATGCTTTCCATCTTTTGGGAGGCTGGTACACAGCCAAAGAAACTTTATCATAAAACAATGACTGAATTCAATCAGAAGCATACATCTGTAGTTGTTTCTTAGGTTTATTTACAAGGTCTCTTATTGTAACCAAATTAAAGATTGATAGTACAGAGTTAATCCTGGTATTTACATGACAGTGTATTATGCACTTGAGAATATTATGATTACAACTTCATTTAATAGATTTCTTTTCAGAATGCCAACTATTTATTTTTCTAATGTTAGCTATCTAATTATCTAGAGCTATCTGAAAAGATCTGTGTTTTCTTGTTAATCGCTGGGTTCAAATAATTTTTTTTCTAATAAGGTTTCCCTAAATAATGTTCCTATTTGACCAGATAAGCAAAGACTACTTTTAAAAAATATTTTAGATAAAGAAACTTGGTTCTTTCAGCTGCATTAGTTGATTCTTCCAAATCTGAGATTTATAAACTCATTCTTATCAGACTAGGATACCTGAATTCTTACATTTGTCTCTTTATACACGTCTCCCATGTTACATCACCAAAGACAACAAAAAATAAGCTTCTGGCCCAGTTTTTGCTTGAAAATTCCAAAGCACTAGGAGCACTTTAAGTTTGGTCTTGAAAGGAACTGTTTATAAAATCAAAGGGCTACCGATTCCCTGTTCATCCTGCACTGAAGCACATGATGACAATTTCAAACCTTCCTTTTTGGTTTATTAATTAGAACAGTGTGTTTCATTGCTTAAGTGTGTAATTAATTCTACAGTGATTAGCAGTACTTGTTTTTATAATTTCATTTGGGTGGCCATTAATTTTGAAACTCTTACCACTCATTATAACTGGTTGTAATTTTATGAAAGATGTAATTTATAGCTAGTGGCTTTTTTATGCATAGCTGACTTTTTTATTGTTTAACAGTGTTTCCCAGCTATATAATCAGTTTCAAACTGGTTGTAAAAGTATAGCTGTGGCCAATGAATGTATTTATTTGTCGTCTCACTAAATTGTAACAAAACACCCCTGTTAAAATAAAAGTGTTTGTGCTTTTATTTGGAGGTCTGGTTTTCTTAATCTCTCTTAACAAATTATACCAAACGAATTTCTACTGTGTAAGAATAAGAACCCTAGTGCTACCAAAGAAAAAATAGGAATTACAGATGATAGTCTACTGTTTGTGAGTATATAATTACACCTAGTTATCATGTCCCTTAGTATTATACACTAATTTGATAGGAACTGCCATACACTTTACTTTAAAATAACAATATGATATTAGATAGTACATGTTTATTCAAATATTACGATAAGAAAAGCCCTCGTATAAAATAATTTATAACATCTCCATTCCCTTAGAATTTCAAATAGTAATAAATTTATCTGGCTCATAATCTTGGGCAGCTTTTCTTTAGTTATTCAAAAAATTCCTCACTGATGTTACCTTTTCCTCTGAAAGAAGAGTTCTTACTATTTTTTCCCCACTGATTTTGAGTACAGTTTCAGGACCTTTACTGATGTCCTAAAGTCCACAAATCTTTGGGAGTCTACTGACTCTTGCTGTAAATAATATTTGGAGTGAAATTATGACCTCTAATAAAACAAAGTTTTAAAAGCAATTTATTCAACAAACATTTATTAAGTGTTCATATGCAGAAAACTATGCTGTGGAAATGCAAAAATGGATAAAGTTCCTTTTCCTGCCCTTGAGCTCACATTCTAGTAAAGGAGGCTTAAAAAAACAAAAACAATACAGTACAATAAGTGACACAATAGAGGTAGGTTGTAATTACAGTGGTAACACAAAAAAAGGAAGTTAGTTGTGGCCCTCCTTGGTTGCAACAAGGGAGATTTCACAGAGATGATGCTTTTGCTAAGCCTGCGAAGATACATAGAAATTTTCCAGGTGGGGAAGGATAGCTAGGGCACTTGATGCAAAGTGTACAGCATGCACCAGGGTGTGGGGGACTGACCAAGGTACATTGGAAGAACTCTAAGTCCATTTTCTCAGAACACAGGGGTTGGGGGAAGTGGGATTGGGAGACTACATCAGAGAACCTTGTTAGAGTACTTCTAGAAAACCCACTCTGGTAGTGTTGTGGAGCAAAACAGAGGAGACAGGCTGGGTATAAGCAGGCAGGTTAGGGTAGTTCTTAAGAGCAATGAATATGGGAAGACACTGATGTAGCAGAGAGATGGAATCAAATCCATAGCTCTTAGACATTGATTGGATCAGAGGAAGAGGAAGGAGAGGAGTGAGCCTAGAGAATTTGGATGACAGTGGTTCTGAATTTAACCAGAGTAAGGAACATAGGCATAAGAGTAGATTTTGGGGGAGGATGGTTCTTTTAAGAAACACACACTGGTATCTTGGAGGACAACCAAGTAAAGGTTTGTGGTAGACAGATGAATGGAGAAGTATGGGCTAAAGATAAGGACTTAGAAATTATTGAATTGGAATTACCCAAAAGTGAGAAGTGGTGGTGATTAGGGAGCAAGAATGAAAGCCTGAGGAATAACACTTAAGGCATAAATGAAAAGCTAAAAAGGAGGCATCCAGGATTAAGTGAAGAAATACAAGGAAATCAAGGGTTTAAAAAAAAGATTTTTAAAGAAAGAACTGTCAACAGTGTCAAATGCAGAAAAGTCAAATAAGAATTGCCTCATGAACTGAACTGTAGATTTATAACTGGGGTTTTAGACTTCAAAGGAAGAGATTGTTAACAACTACTACAGAATCAAAAGCCAGATTTTAGGTAAGAGGTAAGTGGGAGGTGATAAAGTGAAGATAAGATTATTCTTTCAAAAAAAGCTGGCTGTTGAAAAAAAGGGGTAGAGGCATGAGAGAGGTATACAGACAAACTACCATTTAAATCCATAAACTTTTATATATGGTGTTTATTTCATAGTCCTTTCAGTCTCCAAGAACTCCAATATTGACTTAACTAGTAAGTTAAAGTCTTTCTTTTCCTGCCCTATTCAAATGAGGGGGAAAGGAAAATACAACACATATTGTTATACTTAGCTCTGTGATTATTCATTTAAAATATACTAAATGCACATTCATACATTCATCCAACAACTATTTATTGGATATCCACTATGTGCTTGGCACTATCCCAGGCCTTAGGGACTCAGAAAAGAAAAAGCATACAGCAGTGTAAAATGGCATTTCTAAACCATTATATAAATAAACCCTGTTTTATTAATAATGTGACATCTCAACATAACCTGCTAAGACATATAAAGAGGCACATAATTTTGAGGTATACAGTTTTTCCCCTACAATTATCATGTGATATAAATTCCTAAACCCCTTCAAATATTTTTATCATTGAAGAGCTTCCACTAATGAAACCTCCCAAAATTACAGTTTAGTTTTAAGGAGAAAAAGGAAATGAACACAAAAAACAAAAAATTATATACACTATGAGTTTACAGATCAAACATTAAAAGGGCAACAAAACTAAAAAAAAATTAGATTAAAATTCAAAATAATTCCTTATTATAGTTCCAGATTTTTTCTGAAAAAAATATTTTTAATAAATTATTCAGTATTACACACTAAAGTATGGAAGGTTCAAAGGTCATGATTAAGCAAATATGAACAATCACTGAATCTGGGTGAAAGAGTTCTTTGTACTATCCTGAAAACTTTTCTGTAAATTTAAAATCATATAAAAATAAAAAATTTCTCCCAAATTTTACTCAGTATTAGGTAAAATATTATGAGAATAAATATATAAATCTATTCAATTTTCACAATGTATAGAAATCCCCTGTGCCTTTCAATTGTCACTGTATTCTACAATCCAAAACAAGCCAATCAAAATAGTAACTCTAAAGGTAATTTTTCTTCATACCAAAGTATTTTAGGGTTGCCAGATAAGACACAGGACTACCAGTTAAATTTGAGTTGTAATAAGAAAGAGTTTTTTGGTATAAGTATTTTTCAAATATTGCATGCAACATACTTATATTAAAAGCTGTTTATCTGAAATTCAAATTTAACTGGTCATTCTGTATTTTTATTTACTATATCAGTTACTCTAAATGCATTGAAAAATTTTAGGCTGTTAATTATGGGTTATTCATGAGCCTCCTTAGCATTTTTCTATTAAACACTTGTCACAATGGCCATAGTTTTATTTATATTAATCTTACATAAAATGCTACTTTGAGAGACTTAAAACATCATGTACTTACTTTTACCATATATGAATTTAATAGTCCTGATTTTATTCAATATTAAACTTCAAAATTTGTACCACATTACCAAAGTATAACTTTTACTCACAATATTATACATAGACTTGACACAATTAAAAATATTTACTTAAAACAGTATGTCTCCTTTTACAAAAGCAGCTTTGTAAAATATTTGCCTTAAGACTGTTATTGTTATTATCTCTTTGAACAAAATTTTACTCTTTGACCTCCATTGTCCAGAAACAGGCATATTTCCACTCATTTTCTTTTTTTCTTTTCTTTATTTTTTTCAACTCATTTTCTTTAATGAATATTTTGTAACAAGTTCCTGAAGTTTTCTAATTCTTTCACACTTGTAGAAATTCTGTAACCAAAAAAAAATTTCATTCAGAAACTATCTTAGATAACTTTCCTATGTTATTCAACTTTGCATTTTTAGAGTACAGAAAACAATTTTCAGTAATTTATTTCAACAAATTTAAAGCTGCATAAATCATTTAATCTATTTTGATGTACTTTAGTTTTTTACTTGATGTGATAAAACTAAGATAACATTCCCCAGAAATTTGTTACCTTTAAGTATTCATAACTTAGTATTAAAGTTTTAAATTACAGAACAACCAAGTATAAAAATGTTAAAATGCTTAGGTATTTTAAAAGTATTTATAAGTATATTCATATGCTTAGTATTTAAAGATAAAGTACATAAGCATTAAAATACATATTTTAAATATGCATGAGTACTGAAAACTAATCGATATATCATATCTAGTAAATATACAAAGAACCAAAGCTTTTCAACTTTAAAGAACGAGAACAGTAGATGTGGATCAAATTGTTAAGTGTAGTTTAGCTCTGCTCTTCACCATAAAAATGTAGCAGGGTACTCAGTGAATACCACTGTCAAGCTTCTGTGTACTAAAGAATAATTTTGAAGGTATATTATGTCAAACCCAAAATATTAAATCGTAATTGTTCCTCCTTAGGAAATGACTAGATTTTATAAATCTCTGCATTCTTACATATGATAAGCCAGAAGGAAACGCATCTATACTCAAATTTTATAATGTAAGTGGCCTGTTTTCAAGCTTATCTTCCAATCATTTTTATGAAATTATTTTTTAAAGATTTATTAACCTTTTTACAGAATGAATTCACAAAAAGAAATTTTACATGTACATCTATTTTAAACAACATGATTTTTTGCAAGATCCTAAAAAAAATTGGGCAATGCAAAAAAACTACTTGCAAATAATTAGAAAAAATATACAAATTCAGGAAGATGAATATTGAAGTCCAATCAGCAAATTAATCATGATTATAAAGGTCAATAGGTAAAAATAAAGAATATCATGTAATGACTGTGTCTACATACTTACGGTAGTTCATAAGATCATAGAATTCTGTAGTGAGATAATTTTACCATAAAGGATATTCTTTACCCGGTTTTATCTGAAAGTATACATGTTGCATTAGACTTACTTGACTAGCAGAAACAATGTCAATATATTTAGACTAACCTTCCAAATGCATTAAATAATGATACTATTTCTTGTCTGGTTAGATGGAATTCATAACTGGGCCCACTTTCCGGCATATTCGCTATCAGCTTCTCAGAAAACAAGATCTTCAGAGCAGTACCCAAACCCTGAGTCTACAACAGAAATTTAAAAAAGGAAAATCAGAAAATTCTTTGTGCAAAGAATAAATGAAAAATAGAATTGAGATAGATTTGCTTACCTGAAGCTTTCCCCACAGTCTACATTTAAAACAACCAACACAATCCATGATTCTTGAAATATTTCTAAA